TCACTAAAGTCGTTCTTAAAAACGGCTACAAGCAGTCCCTTGCCGATCATACTCTTTTCATCAAGGTAACTTCTACAAATAAGAAAGTTATCCTAACAGTGTACGTGGATGACATAATTCTTACTGGAGATGATGAGGAAGAGATTAGTAATTTGAAGAAGTTATTAAATAGGGAATTCGAAACCAATGATTTCAGAAAGCTAAAGTATTTCCTAGGAATGGAGGTGGCAAGATCAAAAGAATAACTTCTGATCAACCAAAGAAAGTATGTACTTGATTTACTCAAAGAAACTGGTTTTATTAGTCGTAAGTCGGCTGATACATCAATGTAGGCAAACTTGAGATTCAACAAAGAAGATGGGTTCTTAGTAGACAAAGAGAAATTTCAAAGATTAGTTGGGAAACTAATTTACTTATCCTTGACAAGGACAAATATAGCCTTTCCCGTAATGTGATAAGTGAGTACATGACTAATCCTACTGAAGAGCATATAGCAGCATCAAATAGAATTCTCAAGTACTTGAAGAAAACTCCATGACACAACTTAATGTTTAAGAAGACACAAGACAAAACTGTTAAGATTTTTACGGACTCTAGTTGGGTCGTAGATCTCACTAAAAGAAGACCCACTAGTGGCTACTACACTTTTGTTTAGGGTAACCTTACAACTTGGAGAAGTAAGAAACAATATGTCGTTTCAAGAAGTAGTGTTGAAGCTGAATTTAGAGCACTAGCATTGGGAATATGCGAAGGAATTAGGCTACTTAAATTACTAAAAGAACTTGGCACTAATCAGGATGATCACTTTAAATTTTTGTGTGATAATCAATCTGCCATTCAGATTGCCAAGAACCCAGCTCAATATGACCGAACAAAGCATGTTGATACTGATAGACATTTTATTGTTGATCAAGTCAACAAAAAGACAACCACCCTTTCATACATTCCTTCAGAAAGACAGATTGCAGACACTCTAACTAAAGCTTTGCCAAAGCCTGCTTTCAATAAATTCCTATTCAAGATGAGATTATACAATGTATAATCTTCAGCTTGAGGGGGAGTGTAGGAATTATAGAATTATATGAGTTGTTACCATCCCTTTAGTTAAGGGATTCTGTAATATTTTTTCAATCCCCTATTTTAAAGAATTATATCTCATGGAATTAGTATCTTTCCTAACTTAGGGTTTCCTAATTTAGAGACATTGTTTGTATATATAGATGTAATATGTCCTATTGAATAAATAAGAAAATACAGAGGCTTACTTTGATTTCTACAGTATCCATCCACAACCAGCCATTACTACCATTTTGTAGAACCTCATCGCCAATGGCACCAATGCAGCTACTAATGATAATTTTCTAGATGTTAAACACTAATTATTTTATAGTATGCTGCCACTTACGTCACCTCAGACAGCCTTCACCACTATGATATATGTTTCTAGCACCTCCTCATCTCAATTTATGCTGGTGAATTGAATGCAAACATGGTAAAAAAATGTTATCCAACATGTTGCTTGGTTGAACTATTCTGCATTTTGTGCCCATAGTCTCAATATTATTCTACTAATTTGGTCACTGTTTCTAGGTCCATGTTGGCCAATTTCATCAAATTCAATGGCAGATCATTAAAAATGAAGATCTGGAAGAGCTAAGGGGGTTGGGTTCGGGTACATTTGGGACTGTATATCATGAAAAATGGAGGGGAATATATGTTACCATCCAGCGGATAAAAAAATCTGTTTTAATGGCCGTTCATCTAAGCAAGAGAGATTGGTTAGTTTTCTTGTTGTTTCTTGGCATTTTATGCATCATGAATGGATATTGTTACTTTTTCCTCTTCTTCCCATCTCATCAACAGTCAGTGTTAAATGTTTTTCGGACTGTGGAGTTCTGGCGTGAAGCTGACATCCTTTCAAAGCTTCACCACCCCAATGTGGTGGCCTTTTATGGTGTGGTGCAGGATGGACCTGGAGGAACACTAGCCACTGTCAGTTCATGGTGAATAGCTCTCTTAGACATGTTTTGCTTAGCAAAGAAATGTAACTTCTTTAAATATAGTTTCTAGAATGCACTATTTTCCTCTGTTGGTTGGACTTGCCAAAATGGGAGCCTCGCCTGTGTCGATGCGACAAGGTTACGGGTTATGGGTCAGATTCATCGGACGCTTGGTGACTGAGTGAGTGAGGAGTAGAAGATGAAGTTGCAGCAGAGGGATAAGGAGAAAGGAAAGGGAGATATTATAATAGATTGAAATCTTAGTTTTCGAGGGGAAAATAATATATATATATATATATATATATATATATAAAAGTAGAATGTTAAAATCTTAGTTCTGGGTTTGAAGCCGAAAAGATTGTTAATTAAATCCGATCCAAATAATTAACTAAAATCTTTTAGATTATATTTATTTACAATCAATAGTTAAAACAAAATTTAATAAATAAAAATAATGTTTTATATATAAAATACTGATGTATTATAAACATATATTATATTTAAGTACATATGAAATGGATCTATGTACACATGTCCTCTCGTATCCTTTTTGTCGTATCCCGGTGTCACGAGTTTAACTTAGTTGACAAGTTGGACATTTAGACACGCACTCATGTCTGACATTCGTACCTGAGTCCGAGCAACATAACCACTTTCATCACTCTAGAAAATTTCCAATATATATTTTGTTTACATAGATTTTTTAACTGTCTAGGCAACTTGATCATCGTAAACGCTTCATTATTGCCATGGATGCAACGTTTGGGATGGAATATTTACATTCAAAGAACATTGTGCATTTTGATTTAAAATGCGACAACCTACTTGTCAAGTTGAAAGATCCTGTGCGGCCAATTTGCAAGGTAATTTGCACAATCTTGTTATGTATGAACTTGTAAACTTTATGGTGCATTTGTCCTAATTATGCATCTCTTTGTTTTTGGTAGTTAGATATTTGATGTCTAAGTCAAACCTACTTGAAATAAAGATGCTGATGTATGTGCAGGTTGGGGACTTCGTGTTGTCGAAAATAAGAAGGAAAAAATTGGTTACTAGTGGTGTGAGGGGAACTCTTCCATGGATGGCCCTGGAGCTGTTGAATGGCAGTAGTAATAAGGTTTCTGAAAAGGTAAGATGATTTTTTTGAGAGCTTAGATGAAGTTTGTTTATATCTTGGGTCATATCTTGCTTTACTGCAATCCTGCACATGTTGGGAACAAAATTTATTATGCTTCATAGAAGGCCCTGCCTCTCAATGATTATATTTCTCATATTGTTTTCGATGGCTTTTAAGAAGTGGGTTTTGTTTTTTTTTAATAAAGTTATATACTCTTCATTATCTACTATATTGATGTACTTACTGGCTCATGTTGTAGTTTTATATTTGTCATCTATAATGAAGTGACATGCTAAGACTTCTTGGATCTGCATATGTTTCAGATCTAATACCTCTTTTCCTTTTTTTTTCTTCAATTTCAATCTTTAAGATTTTTTTGTGCAATTTTATTTGTATAAAACGTAAACAACGAATCCTTGGCTAAAATCTAGGTTTCTTCCTGAAAAGTACACTTCCATGACCTTCTAAGCACGTAGCAAATGGTTTTTATGCAATTACTACTTACCTGAATTGTCATTTGCAGGTCGATGTGTTCTCATTTGGCATTGTTTTATGGGAGATTCTTATAGGGGAGGAACATTATGCCAATATGCATCAGAGGGCAATAATAGGTGTGAAATCTCAATTGCGGTTAATATTTTGTAGCTACATGTGCTTTTACTTTCAGATGTCTCATTTCTTTTTTCCATATTGGGTTCTGCTGACCTTACCATCATTAAATTCTTCTGTTAAATTTAGTATGTCATTATGATCGTTTACATCCATCGAGTTTTTCTGGTGTTTAATGAGCTATAACATGGACAGTGTTCCCACACATGTTCATGGTGAATTGAATATGTTAACGTTGTAGATTACCTCCTCCGTTCAGAAGGCATTGTTAGCAACACACTGAGGCCACTTGTACCAAGCTATTGTGACCCTGAATGGAAGTTACTAATAGAGCAGTGTTGGGCTCCGGATCCACATGCAAACTGGGTAACAACAGAAAAATAGAAAAAATGGGTGAGACCAAGAAATTAGAAATTCAAGAACATTCCCAAGAAGAGAAAGGATATGCTGAAATCCCAAAATGGTGGGAAAAATAGAAGAACGAGTGGGAAGGAAGGTTCAAGACCCTGCAAACAAGATCGGAAGAAGCACGAGATTACCTACAGAAAATATTAGGCCTTACGGCCAAAGGATCTGATAAGTTGAACAATCAACCCCAACTAGCAAATTGAAAAGTGAGGTCAAGCTTGGTAGCAAACTAGAAGGTAAGAAACCCTTACAAGTTACTTCTATTAACGAAAATGAGAAGTATTCATTCAAACCAGGAGAACCAGGTATACTCGTTACTAGGCTCGACATATCTCAAACCAATATGAATGCACCCAATATACAAAAAACAAAGATAGGAGGAAGTTTTAGGGAAATAGGGGAACTTCCAAGAATTCAAAGCTTGAGAGTAGAAGAAAAAAACCCAATAGAATCATAGCAGTGGAGTTTTCATTCTCAAACCAAAGATTGAATTGTCATTTTTTGATGGAAATAACCCAGAAGTTGGGTACGGAAATGTGACAAGTATTTTTCTATCTTTGTTATTCTTGAGTTTAAAAAAAATAAAAATGACAACAATGTACTTAACAAGCAGAGCATAAGCATTGTAACCCCCTCAGACCGATGCTGATAGTCTGATCCGATCCAGGGTGTCACCTTAGGGCCACTGAAGCGACCCACTGTAAAAATTTCAGAAAATTTAAAACTTTTATTAAAACATGTAAACTCATAAAATCATTTGTCACTATTTAAAAATAAAACAGATTTTCAGACTCGTATATAAAACAAAATACAATTACATGCCCCCTAATCACATGTACCATATTCTGCAAGCAACTCCGGAAAAACTCCCTTACTGAAATCGATAGTTGCACTGGTACAATTCTTTTAACCTGCAACGGTGAGTAATAGAGTGAGATTTGAAAAGCTCAGTAATACAAAACTACCAGATGATGCTATAGGACATGCAGATAAATGGAAAGCCATAATTTCCTTATTGAATCAGACTTATACAAATTTTCGGAATAATCTGAGGTTTCACTGGTAGTTCATTGAATAGAAACCGTGAATATCTCAGTTCATAGGAAGCATTCATAGTATCACGTTTTCAGGAGATCGAATAGGATGTCTAGTGTGTTCCAACAGTACCATAAAATCATAATAGGTACACTAATCAAATGATAGTTCAGTAAATCTCAAAAATCATACTGTAGTGGAGCTTTTTAAACTCGTAGTTTAAAACCATCGTATAAAGAGTTAACCTAAGGGAACATCTTAGGGCCTGAGAGCCTACCCAAGAAAGTTCGGGGCCACGGGGCCTACTTAAGAACACATCTTAGGGCCGCAGGGCCTACCCGAGAATGATCTCAGGGCCGTAGAGCCTACCTAAGAGTCACATTAGGTTCATAAAAATTTTTCAGCATGATCAAAGCTGTACTTTACAAATCTGTATCTCCAAGATACAATTTATACAGTGATACAAATCCATAAGCCTTTACCGTTAAGTCGGTGCATCCATAAAACAGTAACCATAGATTTCAGTGTACCACATGTTCAAACAATAAAACAATTTTTTTAATATATACATGGAACACACTAGAGAATCCAAGTACTTTTCAGAGGTATTTTGTAATTATCATTATGGTTAACATGAACCTGTGCAATTTGATTCCAGGAACGATGTCCTATTGAAGAGAATCGATTTCTAACCGATCTAATCAGACATTTGAGATTGATACTTTAGAATTCCCCTATGTTTCCATGTGCATCAGGAAAACGTTCAAGAACCTTTATACATAATAATTCTAAATTCAGATTTACTACGAGTGATTTCATTACCCAAACAATCAGGGGTATTTAGGAATATACTTAAATTCATAAGATCTCAGCTCAATTGAACCAAATAGGGTATTCATAATCTTTTCCTTCTGCGTTATATGTGTGTTCAGACATGACCGAAGTGATTTAATATGAGAATGTAGAAACAAATATTCAAGACATTTACAATCTATGTTGATCGATCGACTTATTGAACAATTCGAACTAAACAACTCTCAGAACTAATACATGTCGACCCGTCAATTTACATCCTTTCCAGAGTATTTACTCTTTAACACTAACAATTATTGTCCATAATTCATCTTTGTAATCATCGCTGAATAGATCTTCCAATAGTCTTTATTTCATTTTCACGTTTCAACGATATCAGGAAATACGGACGTACTTGTTTCATGGTTCATGACCAATAACGACAATTCATCATGTATGTTCATCAGTGTTTCCAAACTCATCCAATCACATATTAAATCCTCAGTCATTGAGATTACTTTGTTCGTTTAGCAAACAAGCCTATCCCGATTACTTCAGAGTTTTCCATATTAATTCAGATGTTTCTGAATTTCAAATATATATTGCATTTCCTTTCAATTCAATTTAGTCATTCTGGTATTTGTGGTTGATTTATCTTACGGATATCCATTTCTTACTATCGAATGTGCTCTAGCGTTGAGCTGAGTTGAGTACTTTTAGAATTATCATCAATTCAAACTTGAGGAGACGAACAAACATTCAAGTGGTTCCTATGTCATTCAAATACTGATATAACACTAACATTGTTTGTCTGGCTTAAGTTGCGTTCCATAACCTTTAAGAGCATTATAACATCAATTTTTATTTGAATTTCTTAAATAATCTAAGACATTTACTTAGTCTATGACATAAGGGTATTTTGGTCCTTTTTGTGCTCAATGTTCTTCCATTCATTTCAAAACTTGAGGATATACATTCATTCATGGGCTTGGTGATATTCGTTAATCATTTCTTTACAGGGGTATTTTGGTTATTTTACAGATCTAGGGTATTTAAATCATTTCTTTCCGTCCGATCTTACTATTAAATTAAATCTTATAATTTATTTCAGTCTTTTCGAACAATTCTGACAAAAGAACACTCCCGATAAATTGTTCTTCAGGTATTTACTCATAACTCGGATATTTTCGGGTCAAGTGCCTTCTCAAATTTTATAAACGGAATATCAGGAATTTTTCTGCACTAAGTCAGGATCTTAACAATCAAATTCGTACTTAATCGAGTTAAGTACGAATCTTCAAAGTACTTTCTCATTCAAGGTCAACACGAACTATTTTACCTCTCAAGGGCATTTTCGTAATTTCTTAACCAAATAATTTCGATATTAACTCTTAACAAAAATAATATAATTTAGAGATCCTATGATTAATTGCTTTCCTGAACATTCTCTTATCTTGAAATGAATCCTTAACATACTTCTAGTGTATTGCACAAACCCTCATGTGATTAAAATTCGGTTATCCAAATTTTTCAAGCAAAACTAGCATTTCTTATACACATCTGTAGTTTTATCAGATAAATAAGTCTTTTCAGAGTTATTAATCAACTTCCAGGGACAATTCTTGACATTTTACAACATAAGGGTATTTTCGTAATTTTACCCAACCAGAGTATTCTCATAATTTCTCATCCGAGTACCTTTAGTATTTAACCTTTGTTGATATAAAATATAAATTACAAATCCAGGGCTGATTCCATTATCACTAATCACAAAACTTGTAATTTAATTCTAACAGTCTCTCAATCTTTTATATTAATCATTCGATCCGTATTCAGTTACCGAGTTTTTACCGCATTTATATCGAGTGTATAAATTAATCAACTCCACCAAATTGACCAACATTATCTTATTCATGCATTTACCAATATCAACATGTTCCATAAAACTTAAAGATGTAGTAAAGTATTACCTCGATTTCTGTGTCATACTGATCGATCATAAAAATTCCATTCGAATTCCCTCGATCTTTAATTTAACTTTCAATAATTCCTCAAATACATGACAATAAACATTTCATAAAAAACGGGCTTAATTCTGAAAAACGGATCGAATCGGGTGATTAATCAGTGAAAACCAACTTACCGGGTTTAAATTTGGTGAAACGGACCTCAAAAACGGATTTAGGACATCGAAAAACGTCAGAATAGGTATACACGGTTAAAGTCAAATGTCGTTTAATGCCCGATCAACGCCAGTTAACAGTGGTCAACGCTGGTCAACGGTTAACGTAGGTCAACGGTCAACAGTCAACCATTTTACACAAATATCACCCTAACAGAAATTAATTACAAATTTAGCCACCTTCTAAAAATATTTACAAAACTAACACCCAAATTTTACACAAATATCACCATAACATAAATTAATTACAAAATTAGTACCCCTACGCGCAGTGGCGGCGCATGAAAAGTGATGTGATGTCGAAAAATTCCTAAAATTTATTTTAAGGCATTTTGAGACACTTCTCAAGCTCGGTTCACAATTTTGAACGACGGAGTGCTCGATTCTGAAACATCAAAAACTTTGACTTTCTCACCCCTCCACTCGTCGGCGACGACGGAGAAACGGAGGACACCGGTGAACTCGAAACGATGCAAGGAACACGATGGTGCAGGAGGTGTCGAAAACGGATGGTTGGATCGTCGTGAATCGACGAAAAACCAACTGAAATCGAGTTAATACCGACGATACTTCCGACTGAAATTAACGACGGACGACGACGGACGACTATTCATGACAAAAGGTTTGAGGGGTTTTGTTCATCGGTCGACAACGAATACGATGGTGGTTTCGGTTCGTCGATCGAAGGTCGGACGAAGAGTAGATCGGAGTTGAAAGGAGGGTTGATGGAGAGGAAAACTGGGAAAATAATCTGGAACTGCGCACGGGGAAGGGGTTTATAATTCATCCCATAAAATAAATAGGTAAACCATGAGTTTAGTCACTGAACTTCCTTCACTTCTTAAAACGGTCTGCCAACTTTGAAATTTTACAATTTAATCAACTGTTTCTTTCAAAATACCAATTAAATTCAATACTTTATAATTTCTAAAATTTAGCCCCTAAATTGGGTTGTTATAAGCATGGTTTGATGGTGATGTAATGCAAAGAAATAAAATTACTTGGCATGGATTTGTATCATACCTTTGCCATCGATTTTGTGATAGAGGCCAGACAGATATCATCGACAAATTTAATAAGCTGTAACAAAAAACTTCAGTTGACGAATACCTGGACAGATTTGAAGAACTAAAACCTTTTATGCTATAAATGAACTCTCAATTAGGGGAGGAATATTTTGTATACAATTTCCTTAGTGGTCTCAAAGAAGAATTAATGCACAAAGTCAAGGTCCTTGAACCAAAATCAGTGGCAGAGGCAGACATTAAAGTAAAGTTATACGAGCTCTCACTAGAGATAGAGAGCAGAAAATTCAGGGGTCCCTATAGAACCAACTTCCCTAACAATCAAAATGTTCCTCTGAAATCTCCTATCTTCCTATGGGAGCAACGATGAAACCAAATAATACTCAAAACAATCAGAAACAGAACTTGATTGACTACCAAAGAGCCAATAATCTGTGTTTTTGGTGTGAAGAAAAAATTCGGCCCAGGTCACCAATGCAAACCTAAACAACTAAATATAATGGAAGAGGAATTGCAAGATTCAGAAGAGGAAACAATGGGGGGTGATAAAACAACTTAAAACTATCTGCAATAAATTAATTTGACAAAAAAGGAAATTGAAGAGGGAGCACTGGAAATTTCTCTTAATGCCCTCACAGGTAGTGTGGGCCACAACATGCTAAGAATATTGCGATCTATCAAAGGAGAACCCCTCAGCATCTTGGTAGATACCGGTAGCACCCACAGTTTTGTGACAGCGGGATGGGCAAAGGCTGGTGCAGAAGTAGTGTCTAATAAAACTTTGGTTATTACAATAGCTAATAGAGATAAACTGTACAACTCATCCACTAGCAAACAATTACAGTGGAAATGCAAGGTCACAAATTCGAACATGATTTTCGAGTTTTGCAACTAGGAGGAAGTGACATGGTGCTAGGGATGGATTGAATGCAAAAATATAATCCAATCAACATGGACTTTAATCAAATGACCCTAAAATTTTTAGAAGTTGGAGAATAAGTGGAATTACAAGGAGGGGAAAAATCCACTGTTATGAAAATTATCTCGGGTGAAAAATTTCAAAGGATGACTGAAAAAAATGAGGAAATAGTGGGAGAAATCTATGTGCTAGACACCGAAATGGAAGAAATAGATATTCCAACAGATTTACAAACTGTTCTCTACAAGTATGGAGTAGTTTTCCTTGAACCAAAAGACTTACCCCCCCAATCAAAGCCATGATTATGCTATTCAATTGTGAAACAAGGAGCAGAACCAGTTAAGACCTTATCGGTTTCCGCATCACCAAAAAACAGAGGTAGAAAAACAAATTGCCGAGATATTAAAATCCTCTATAATTCGGACTAGTAAAAGCCCCTTCGCTTCACCTTGATTATTGGTTAGGAAGAAAGATGGAACTTGGAGGTTATGCATAGACTACAGACAGCTAAATGCCATGAATGTCAAGATTAAGTTTCCTATTCTGAACGAACTATTGAGAGCTAAATATTTTTCAAAAATTGATTTACGATCAGGTTATTGATAGATTCAGATTAGGGAATATGACATACAAAAGACAACATTTAGAACCCTCCATGGTCACTTCGAGTTCAAAGTAATGCCATTTGGATTGACAAATGCTCCAGCCACATTCCAATCCCTTATGAACGAGTTTTTTGCACCTTATTTGCGAAGGTTTATCATAGTTTTTTTTATGATATATTAATTGACAGTAGTTGTTGGCAAGAACACTTGCAACAGTTAGAGTTAGTTTTTCTATAAAAAAAATAGTTAAGAGTTAGTTTTACAATTATTATTGGATAACAAGTTATTTGAAAAAAAACAAGTGTTTTTTTTACAGGAACAAGTAGAATATTTAGACCACATTATTTCACCACAAGGAGTAGCCACTGATCCGAGCAAGATTGAAGCAATGCAAAACTGGCCACTACCAAAGAACCTTAAAGCCTTGAGGGGATTTTTGGGACTCACTGGATATTATCGAAAATTTACAAAAAATTATGGAGCAATCAGTAGACTATTGACAAACATGCTTAAGAAAGATGGGTTCAAATGGACTCCGGAGGTAATATTTTTTTACTTGAAGCAGATCATGTATGAAGCACCAGTTTTAGCTCTTCCTGATTTTACTCAATTATTCTGCCAAGAAACGGATGACAACTCAAAAGGAATTGGTTCAGTGTTGTCTCAAGGGGCAGACCGATAGCATTCCTAAGTAAGGCTCTAAGTCCTAAACATGTGGATCTGTCAATATACGAAAGGGAGTATCTAGCCAGTTTAATGGTTGTTACCAAATAGAGGCATTATTTAGAAGGGAATACGTTCATTATCAAGACCGATCACGAATCCTTGAAGCATATATAGAATAGAAGATTACTACAACAATTCAAAAAAAAAAGACTCACTAAGCTATTGGGATTGAATTACATCATTCAATATAGATAATGAATGAGCAACTTGGTCGCAGATGCATTATCTAGACAAATCGAGAACAATTCTACACTACAGGAGATGACAACCACCATAATAGTTCCATTTTGGGTTCAAGAGGTGGAAAATAGTTATAAAGATGATGAGTGGGCTAAAGAAAATATTATTAAATTAGCCTTACAGTATAAAGGGGAGGATCATTGGACATATGTTCAAGGGGTGTTAAGGTACAAAAAAAAGGGTTTACATTGGACCATCGGCAGAACTAAGGCAGAAGATAATTACATTGTTACATGACTCCCCTGTTGGAGGGCATTTGGGACCGCAAGCGACTTATTTCAGAATTAAACAATGCTTCTATTGGCAGGGCATGAAGGTAGCTATTAAGACTCACATTCAACAATGTGATATTTGTCAAAGGATTAAAGTTGAGCACGTTCCTAAACCAGGGCTGCTACAACCATTACCTATACCACAACAAGCATGGGATGTGGTCTGCATGGACTTTGTGGAAGGACTTCCATAATCCTCAAGATTCAATTGTATACTTGTGGTCATCGACAAATACACAAAGTATGCCCATTTCATTCCCCTCTCTCATCCCTATACAACTAAGGATGTTGCTAAAGCCTATTTAGAACAAGTTTTTAAACTACATGGAGCACAAAAACAGGCTGTTTCTGACAAAGATCAAATTTTTTCAAGTCTTTTTTTAAAGAGCTTATGAAGCATTTGGGAACCGAAAATCTATATAGCACAACCTATCATCCAGAAACAGATGGACAAGCCAAGAGGTTAAACCAATGTCTTGAATAGTATTTAAGAAGTTTTTGTTTCCTTAAACCCACAACATGGGTGAAGTGGTTGTCCCAGGCTAAGTGGTGGTACAACACCAACTTTCACACTGCCTTAGGGAACAACGCCTTTTGAAGCCCTATATGGTTACAAACCACATATTCTATCATGGGGAGGAGAGTCAGCAGTTGATAGTGTGGCAGAACTATTAGCTAATAGAGAACATTTACAGAAACTACTTCAAGACCAATTGCGAAAAGCGCAAGCTAGAATGAAACTCTATGCATATAGAAAACGTTCGGAGCGAGAATTTCAAGTAGGTGATGACATTTACCTTAAGCTTCAGCCGTATAGGCAAACCTCAGTGGCCATTTGACAAAACCTCAAGTTAGTTGCTCGTTACTAAATCAAACGAATTGGAGGAGTGGCCTACGAATCGCAATTACCACTATCGTCACGCATTCACCCAGTTTTTCATGTGAGTTTGTTAAAAAAGAAACTAGGAGACGGGGTACTTACTTCAATCGAATCTCCAGAAATGGCTCCTGATGGCACTCTAAAGATTTACCCATACGAGTGCTCGACAAAAAGGTTGCGACACAACTCTTGATTCAGTGGGCTAACATGGGAGTTGAGAATGCAACGTAGGAATATTTTACTGTTCTACAATCACAATTTCCACAGTTTGATCCTTGGAGACAATGACCGATTGAAGCGGGGGGAATTGTCACGATGAAGGGGGAGAAAATAGGGAATTGAATGAATTAGGGATTTGGATTGGAGACTTGATTCAAAGATAAGAGAAGTTGGGGAAAATTATGAGGGAATCTGTGACAAATGAAAAGGATAACGTTTAGTTAAATGAGAGCATGTGGGTTATAATTGTAAGCCCATTAGTGAGTTGACTTGATCCCAACTGTTGTGAGGACCGTTAGTAGGGATAGATGCACTTATTATGACATCATTACTCTAACCTCTTTTCAAATTCTTGAATCATTTCTTCTATTCTCTTAGTTGACGAATCGTGACATCACAGGGTCACAACTGTAGAACCAGGAATCCAAGTAAAATGTCTCTTAATAATTTCCTAATTTTGGGGCTACATGCACTCATCAATTATTATGAGTCTATTTTATTTTATATAGAAACACCTGTGTGTATTATTTTATATGAAGAGTAAGGGAAGAGGAACTCCCTAGGAGTTTGAGTGTTTAGATATGATGTTATTATGTTTTGTAAGTAAAAAAATATTTGTTAATTCGAATTTGGGTTGAGTTAGGTTAGATTTTTTTAAAGGTGAGGTAGATTGTGTCATATTCAGGTTGAGTAAGATCATGGTTTTTTTTAACGGTGAGGTAGATAGCGTCAAATTCGCGTTTAAGATAAAAAAGTTCAATAGATATTATAATTAATTTTATTTTTTATATTGTTTTTTCAGTTAGGTCTTTATCATATATATTATATTACTTTCAATTTTGCATTTTCTGTCTTTGAATTTAATTGTGTTTCGATGTAAATACTCTATACATGAATTGCTTGGGGAATGTATAAGTTGTGAAGCATGGTTCTAGTCCCTAATTACGAAATAAATTCAAATTTCATTGGAATTTGTATTTCAAAATATAAATTAAAAATCACGAAAGCAAATAAATAATAATAATAATAATTTGTGAATTTTATTTTAATAAAAAATAATTTAAATAGTTTTAAAAAAATACATAGTTTGGGGGATATTTTTCTTTAAGCTTTTTTTAATGCATGTCCCTTTTAGTAGGTGATTTGACTCATTATATGGGTCTTACCCTGCGGTCAGTGGTGATTGCGTGAAGTGCATCGAGCAGAATATCTCTGACCGCATCCAACCGTACCCCACCTCTTTCCCTCCCACTCACAGTCGAGTATTTGCGACCAAAGGAAAAGTAATCTAAAAAGTATTTCCCTTCCATTCGCGGCGGCTGGTTTCTTTGTGGTACAACTCGTAGTTAGGGTTTTATTTGGGTCACCCATTGTACAATGTCTCTCTTGCAGCCTTATTTCCAGCAATGCGCCACGGCATTTACGCCCGCCTTCTTAGTCTCCTCTCCTCACCCATTCCACGTATCGGTTTCTAAACGTAGCTTCATCTCTTGTTCCTACTCTCAGTCCCAAACTGCCGTTGTTGATGACACGATCGACAGTAAAATCGCTGAAAGGGATGAAATTCGTTTCGGCTTGCCTAGCAAAGGTCGCATGGCTGCCGATACTCTCGATCTACTGAAGGTACTGCTTCCTTCACAACAAAATGAAGTTTTAGTTTTTTTATTTATCTTTTTTTGTTTATTTGTTTAGAAAGCTGATTTATGTTCATAGGATGCAAAAGCTATTAATGTCAGTGAGAAATTATTTTTGAAGTTCTAACTTTTTAATAAAAATTGTAGATAATATCAATAATTATGTATGAATGTGTTTACATTTTAATCACTTCTATTCAACTTGTTTTTCTTGTTTGAAATTAATGTTCTGATTCCTTTCAATCTTCTGTATCTTCTGCAAAAGGATTGTCAATTGTCGGTTAAGCAGGTCAATCCGAGGCAGTATGTTGCGCAAATACCTCAGGTTTCTGCCACTTTTCTATCTCACAATTTGCATTGTAGCATCTATATCTTATTTTTGTATGGTCGATATTCAATGCTTAATTTGTTATTCTCCCAGCTTTCCAATGTAGAAGTATGGTTTCAGCGGCCCAAAGACATTGTCCGGAAATTGTTATCTGGAGATTTAGATCTTGGTATTGTTGGGCTAGATACTGTCAGTGAATATGGACAAGTAAGTTTTGAATTATAGGATACTGTTTGACTGTGGCCATCCTTTATAATGTTTTGCGATTGTGAAAATGTCACTAGTAATTTCAATTATCCAACTAAGTCGGTGATTATGTAATATGTAGAATTCCTGCCTTGCAAAGTCATATTTAAAGTTATAACTATCTCTTATATGTTGCCGTGTGAGTTATCCAGAGTTTGGTTGTAATGTAGTTTATTTTATACTGCATTTATCGTCTTCCTGTAAGAAAAAAAGAGTTGCTCTCAGAAAATTGAGTGCAGATTAAACTCTTCTTGTTTCAATATTTTCTCAGGGCAATGAAGATCTTATCATTGTTCATGATGCCCTTGAGTACGGAGATTGTCGTTTATCTCTTGCAGTAAGTGTTCTTTTTTCACAATTTTATATTGAGCTGTGTCTTCCTGATATCCCTACTAACCATTGTTTGTATTTTGTTTTTTCAGATTCCCAAGTATGGGATCTTTGAGAATATCAATTCACTGCAGGAACTATCCCGTATGCCCCAGTGGACCATTGAGAAACCTTTAAGAGTTGCAACTGGCTTCAATTATGTATGACATGCACTTCACTGATATTTGTAATTATATGCTTTCTGGACTCTTTTTCTCGTGCTATCTTTTGAAGTAGCTTATTGACAGAATGTTTCTATTTGAATTTAATTATTATTTTTTTTCTTTCTGTACAGCTTGGTCCTAAATTTATGAAAGAAAATGGACTGAGGAATGTGACATTTTCAACTGCTGATGGAGCCTTAGAGGCAGCTCCTGCTGTAAGAATTAAGCTCTCCCCAAGTACCTGTAATTTAGGTTTTTCTTTTGAAGTTTCTTCTTATTATGTTTTCGTTTAAATGTACCTTCCAATATTCTACCCATCTGTTGTGTCCTTTCTGTCTTTCACCCGGTTGATATATGATTGAGCAAAATGTTGTTTTCTTATTGAAGGTAGTGACTTTAAAAGTTAGCGCTAGTAATTCTAGATAAGGACAAAGCAATTTGGAGAAGTAGTCCCTTTTGCTCGTATGATGTTTATTTTTATTTTATTTTTTGATAGAAGATAGGCCTCATTAAAAACCCCCTTCATATCCTACATGTTACATGAGTAACATGAAAGACATAGGAAGGAGGAAAAGAGTGCCTCTGAATTTTATTAATCTGAATCATAACATACAACCAATCGCTAACCACTAACTGCTTACAACATAACACTTATTACATAACACTAAAACCAGAACACCCTTCAGAAATACAAACAAAACACCACACCTTAAGAACCACAACACAACCTATTAATCAACCTATACTAGCTTTGGCTAACTCATCCGCTTCCCAATTAGCAACTCTTAGAATATGCCTTGAAATAATACCCTTTCCTTCCACAAAAGTAGCTAAATCTCTCACCAAGGACTGAAACAAAGGGGTACATAAATCCGAACTTTTAATCCACTTCAAAGCAGTAATAGAATCCGATTCCAGGATAATCCTCTGACTTGGAATAGATCCTACTTCTTCAATGAGAATCAACCCTCTTTTGATCGCCAATAACTCTGCAAGTATAGGAGGATTGCCCCCAATTTTCTCTGAAAACGAACCAAGCAGCATACCCCTGGAATCCCTAATCAATCCACCTATTCCTCCTTTGTCCCATCCCTTAACCATCGCCCCATCTACATTAAATTTTAGGAAACCTTCTGGAGGAGGTACCACCTAGATGAAGGAGAACCCCCTTTTTTGTCTTCCTGCCAAATTTGCTAGTTTAAAATCCCCCACTAAAGAGTCGAAAGGAATTTTAACATCCTTAAATCTATCCCCAAACCAAGAAACAATTCTAAATCGAGCAAGAAAGAACACCAGCGCAATATCCACCTTCCCTTTCTGGAAAATTATCTCATTCCTGCATTTCCAAACCGACCACAACATCGCCCTTGGAATAAATTTCCAAATAGTAAAGCTCGGAAGTAGGTCATCCCACAAAATTATAAAATCGATTAACTTCTTAGGAACCACAAAAGAAACATTCCAGTCCCTTAAGAATCTAGACCACAAATCCCATACCACCTCACAATGCAAAAATAGATGTGAAACCGACTCCTCACACTTCCCACACATCGGGCATAAAAGGTCATCAATCCCAATCACTCCTCTCTTCAACTGCTCCTCCTTAACTGCCACTCTATGATGTGCAACTTGCCAAACAAAAGTTTCAACTCAGGGAGGTGCTATCCCTGCCCAAACATGTCTATCCCAAGTATCATCCTTCCCATCATTACCCTCCTAATCAAAAAAATTTGTGATGCACGATTTAGTTGAAAAACAACCCTCGTCATTTCCTAACCATATCCAACAATCTTCCTCTAAAAATGAGAAAGTGGTACTATTCAACAAGGAAATAAGCTGCAACCATTGCTCAACCTCCCAATCCACCAAGTTCCTTCTCACTTGAATATCCCACACCCATCCCAAAGCATTATTCAGCCTAAATTCTACAACCTTACCCCCTTTGTTATTCGATAGAGAAAAAAGCCTTGGAAACCGCTCTTTCAGAGGAACCAGACCCAGCCATACATCATGCCAAAACTCCACTGATTCTCCATTTCTAGCTCTCAAACACAGATTTTTCCTAAGACAATCCCCAAATTCATCACTAGAAAAGAAGTTCTTAACAACTCCTCTCCAAATCCAAGAAACACGAGCTGTCCAATTATTCCCAATCATCATAGAATTCAAATCCAAGTTGTTCACACTACACATCACTTTTTTCCACCAGGAACTCTTTTCTGAAGCAAATTTCCAAACCCATTTCCCAAGTAGAGCCTTGTTCAAGAGCAACAAATTCGGAATTCCTAAACCCCCAACCTCTTTAGCTTACACACCAACTTCCAATTCACCCAATGAATGCTCCTTTTTTCTGTCGAACCTCCCCATAGAAAAGCTGCCATGATAGAGTTTAATTTGTTGAACACACTAATTGGGATCCGAAAAATAGAAAAGAAGTA